AACCTCTTTTTTGCTTACACTTTCAGATCACAAGAATATAAGAATATGAAACAGAAATTTCTGAACATCCGACCTTATCGTATAGATCATCAAACAGGCAAAACTACAAACCAACGAGATTTCTCGGCGTGTAAACTGGACATTTGACTTAACTGAACGGTACGCACACCGCGCGCGATTTGAACTTTGACGTGCTCTCTGCTACAACCTATTTATACTATTAAAGTGGAATATCTACCGATATTTCACTAATTGTACACTGCCCGGGTTAAACCAAGTGATCGATCACAGGCCACTAAGTTTTTCATAGTCCGTGGTAGTAATTCCTTTTGCGTAAACAGTATTGTTTATCGTTTTTGTGGAGTACATCTGTGTTCCATTTTTCCAGTTTTGAAAGTAGTCATTTCTTCGGTGTTAAAATTTTTCATTTTTTCGCCGTTCACTGTCTGCACGGAATGAGACAAACAAGTGTGGCGGCTGTGAAGAGTTTGTGGCCGTGGATATCCAGTGCGAACGGTGCCATCTTTGGTATCATAAACGCCGTAGTAAGTTAATAAAGAAGTGCTACGACCTATACACGATACATAGTTCCCTGCGATGTATCTGTTTCCACTGNCGATGTATCTGTTTCCACTGTATAGCGTTGATAGGGGAATGCTCACGCATCCCCAGGGACAAAGCGGCGGGCAACACTAGCCAGCCGGATCAGCTTAAGGAAACGAAACCTCAGGTGCCCAAAAGAAATAAAACAAAGAAGGGAAACCGAAAGGAAAACCAAGAACCAGATGTCAACACGAAAGGAAAAACCACCGCAGTAGCTCAAGAGAGGGACGCGGAGTGCATGGCAATTATAAAAGACAGGTTAGAACGGCTGGCAAGAGAGCTGAAAGTTCTGAAAGAAACTAATCAAGTAATCCTAGGAAGGACATAACTTCGTTGAGCCAGTGATTAGAGACTCCAAGTCTCGGCACGAGGCCGACCGGAAGTATGTGCAGACCGCGCTTAGGCTAGTGGGGTAGCCAACTATGACGGGAATAATGAAGTTTCATAGAATGGGACTATGGAAAGTTGAAAGAGCCACCCAACCCCGGCCTATATTGTTACCCTCACGAGTTTGTATGCCAGGGACCGGATCAGCGGCAATAGAAAGCATCACCAGGGGCGACATAATTGTCATCCCAGATAATGGTATGGTTATCCGTAGAAAAAACTGGCCACCCACCAGCAAACATGAAGTAGGGCCGCCGAAAAATGCAGTAGTTAAGCTAAGAAAGGAAGGGACGCCCGAAAAACCAAGATCGGCGACTAACTCAACGAAGGCCCAAGGTCAGGTATGCACAACAAATGACACATATGGACCGAAGGGTTCACCGTTGAGTAAGTCAACGCCAAAACCTAAGGAGGGTCCGCTGCGAGAATTAAGGGTTAGCGAAACGAAAGCGGTTACAGCGGAAAAAACAACCACCGCTTCCAGCCCCGCAACAGCTGCGAAGCTAAAACCCGCAGCACAGAAATACGCTTCCTCAAAGCAAGATAATCGCAGGAACGGAGCGCATGGAACCTCTTCACGTTAAAAGGTGTCAGAGGACCGCAGCTGGGCAACGGTAGTAGCAAATACACCGAAACACCGGCCAGGATTGGGCGCAATTACCAGTCCCGGACGCGAGGACCTAGAATTCGTCAAAAACGTCCTGCCGGGGGCATCCAAGTCAGTAGACTGGGTATATCTAAAGGCGGTAAATCTTAGATAGCGGAGACTGCCTCCAGCTGTTACACAACAGCAAAAAACGAGGATATCCACCAGGTATAACGCACGAAGACTCCAGAAGTATAGAAGAAAATGGGGCGAGATCGCTGCGCGCTCCCAGGGATCCGAAATCGTCGTCATTTCGGAATCCTGGTTTCAGGAAATGCAAATCGTAGACGGCCTAGGGGGGTTTACTACTTACCGGCAGGATAGAGTAGTCGGCAGACTTGGCGGTGGCGTGCTAATATTAGTTAAGCCATCCTTCATCTAGTGGGAAACAGTTGATCTTAGCTACGGAGGAGCCATCGCTAAGAGATGCCTGTTAGGGTACCCCTGAACGTTGTGTGTGCCCCTCAGGAGGATAAGGTCACCCTTACCCTCCTACACTGTATGCTGTACACGTTGAGTGAACAAGGTCTATCCGGGTAGAGTGTGCGTCACAATCCCTGTACTCGTTTCGTGGCTTTCCACTATGTCCGCTCAGTGGCGTCGACATCCCTCCTAAGCAGTGGCTGGCACGCCTGGATGTTGATTTCCAGGTGTGGCCTAATGAGCGTAGCAAATATATTGGAGAAACATTCTGGTGTGAATTTCCCCAGAAGCCGGCTGAGTTGGTTCAGTTTGAACATTGCCCTCCGGGCCAATGTGTTGCGTTTAGTTTTCTGGGACAGATCATCGGTAATGCCTGTGCCCAGGCCCCTTTCGTGCCTGAATTTCTGCAATGTTCTACCTCCCAGCAAGTGGTTGTTTGCACAATGCCCTGCAATGTGCATAACCTTGCATTTGTCAAGGTTGAACGGCGACCCATTTGCGGCAGGCCAGGTAAAAAGCCAGTCTAGGTCCTCTTGCAGGGTACACTTATCTAACGGTCTTTGAATCTCCCGGCAGAACTTAATGTCGTCTGCATATTTCAGTGCGTCTGATTGTGGGCCGACGGTGAGATCGTTCAAAAATAATGTGAACAGTCTGGGGCCTAAGATAGAACCCTGGGGTACCCCAGTAGGTGCTCCAAACCTATCTGAGAGGATGTCGTTCACTCGAACCCGAAAGGTTCGATCGCACAGATAGCCTGAGACCCAAGCTATCAGGATTTCGGGGAATCTCAGTTTGGCTAGCTTCTCTACTAACATAGAGTGACGAACTCTATCGAAGGCCTTGGGAAAATCTAGCATGACTAGGTCCAGTTTCACCCTCTGCCCGCCGCACATGTATACCAATCCATGATCTGAATGCGGTTGGTTTGGCAGGATCGCTTCCCACGGAATCCATGCTGGGCATCATACAAGGAACGATCCTGCTCGACAAACTGGTTGATTTTGTCGTCAATGTGACCCTCCATTACCTTTGAGACCACAGAGAACAGGGCTACTGGTATTTGTTTGGTAAGGTACGGTCCCCCGACTTCGATATGGGAGAGACCACGCATGTCTTCCACCCGTCCGGGACCACGCCAACACTCATAGAGTGGTTGAACAGTCTACTTAGGCGTAGTGCTACATAATCTGAGTAGTATGGGTGGTATCTCATCAAGTCCCGGTAACGTTTTAGCTACAAGACTTGCTAGTTTTAGTCCTATCTGTGCGCGGGAAAAAGACACAGATTCCATGAACCCGCTGGGTATGGAGTCCACTGCGGGTAGACCCCTTCCGTCTGTCCGACTAACAAATTCAGGGCCGAATACTGTGGAGTAGCACTCAGACAGGGTATTAGCTGCAGCCCTGTTGCCATCCGTAAGGGATCCATCCGCACAACGGATGTCTGTGATCCCGAGTTTCGCCTGGGTCACCATGTAGATTTCCCTACAGAAACACCTCGGGGCCGCAATGACCCAGTTTAAGAACTGCCTCTGGTGCTCACTGGTGTCTTGCTTTCTTTGTAGGTTACATTGGTTGAGTAACTCAACGTACGCCTCGCAATCCTGAGAGCTCTGAGACCATCGGTATTAGTTCCACGCGCGTCTTTTCCGTGCCAAGGTCTCAATTGTACGGCGACGCAGTCGCTTTTTCGGTTTGAATGGTCGAACCTGTGTCCGTGTGTAATAGTAGTAGTAGTCGTAGTAAAATGCACGGAATTCGGAATGTAAACCATGCAATACGAATCAATGGACACGAATCCACAATCAGTTATCAAGGACTGGATCACAGAAGCACTGGACCGCAATGGCACAGGTTCGCAATGTCCCACGAGAAAGAGACACGAGGAAAAGGCCACATGAATAGTAATACGTAGTTCTTTTATTGGAGGAAATGAGGGCGAATAAATAATATGTACAAAAGAAGATTATTGGTTATCCAGGCTTCCACC